TGGGGTAAATACGTTAAAATCGCAGTTACACTTGTCGCGCTTTTGTCCGCGGCGTCATCGGGTATATTTGGGCCGCGCGCCTCGCCTGGTTGCTTTGTCTCTCCTACTCATCGCGTATTCCTTTATTCACGTCCGGCTCCTTCGCAGAAAGACGCGATAACGCATGTATACGTATATATAGCCTTAATCTCTTTTTATTCGCCGGCCGAATGTTATACTCGCTGTCTCTCGCCGAGTTCCTCGTTGCTCAGCTCGCGCGATCGAACGGCCAGTAACACGCTCGTATAAAACGCGATACGTAAACCGTCGACTCTTTGTTCCACGTATCGCGCGTGTTTCCCTTTAAGGACGCGTCGAGTTGACATGCGCGGCCCGGAACCCTTCCTCCCTTCGTTCTTTGTTTGGGTCGCCCTATAACCGACTCGCGCTCTCCCTTCGCGTCACGAACCGCCGCGCCGGTGCCGAGAAATCCCAAGACCCCCTCTCGAAACCTCATATACCGACTAACCCACTTGTCCCCCTCTCTCCCTACCCTCCTCTCTATCCATCGCCCAAAAAATAATCCGCCGTGCCAACGACGCGACGCGACGCGACGCTCCGCTTGGAAGCGACGTTGCAAAATGTTCGCTCGTTGCGCGGAGCTTCTTTAGCTCCAAAAATATTATTTCCCCAAAATTCAAAAGATAATTGGCGCAAAATCGTCTCGGGCGTCAAACGGGATTAGATTCAGCGTGATTCGATTTGCGAACGAGGCGAAATAATTTCGCAGACGTGGACAAAAGTAAAGACTCCGTATATCTCAGCGGTCTCGTATTTATACCGATCGATCTCTTATTTCTTCGCTTTTGATCCTTTTCTCTCTTTCCGTATTAATAAGGAAAAATTGCGGATGCGACTATAATTACTGGGGACTTTATATAAGTACTGTTACATATATGCGTGTGCACCATTAATACTAACTGAAAAAAATGCATGTAATTTTACATGGAAATTACATGTTCATGACTGGAAAATTACCTAAATATAATTGGAAATTTATTTTACAATTTCCAGTAAATTTCCAATCATATTTAAGTAATTTAGATAATTTTCCAGTCATAAACATGTCATTTCCATGTAAAATTACATGAATTTTTGCAGTATAGAAGTAAATATTGTGTTTCCTACTATGATTCATTATTAAAATGATAAATATAACTGATGGTTTTACAGTGGCAACTTTAAAAGTTACTACTAGTGACTTTATTAAAAATTGTTACAAAACTATCATAATCAATCGCAGCTAGAAACTTACATTTTCTCCTTCTTCGCTTGTGTAAGGAGAAATTGCGGATATGATTGTAATTACTAGATTTTATATCTGTACTGTTATATATTATATATAGTACGCATGTGCACCGTTAATACTGGAAGTATCAACGTTTCTCACTCACTTGGGCCTGGTTTTTCATTTTACGGTACTAACTTGTAGCTTTTTCTGGTATTAACTTGTAGTTTAGATTTTAATCTCTTGACTTAATAATAAATGTAAAAACTATATTCTAGCTGTCATTAATTACTAAACTGATGGTGTTATAATGATAACTTTAAAAGTTAAAACTCAGTTTAGTAATGATTAACCATAGCTAGAAAAAAATCCAAGTTTTATATTATTATCAAATTAAGTCTAACCACAAGTTTATCAAAAAATACAAAATTGGATCTAGAAGGACGAAGCAAAATACCATAAAAATAAAGAAAATGATGAAAAACCAAATATTTCATCAGTATAATAAAGGAAATTATTGAAATGTCGAAAAAATCTCACAATCTCAGAATCCTATTCATCTGATACTAATCTAAAAGATAGAAACGGTCAATAGTGACCGCTCGATTTCTATCGTGTTAACGGACTGACTGCGTCAATGAACGGACAACGAGGTGGAGCTAGAAGGTTGTCGAGCGGGAGATGATTATGCGAAACACGCGCGTTTGTTTCGTCATCCTGTTATTTCGGACGCTAACCGCACGTCTCTGTTTTTACTTTATTATGCCCGCTGACGCATTGCATAATTTCGACGCGGCGCCATCCAGACCTCGGGTATTCTTCCAGGTTTCCGCTTTTAGAGATAACGAAGACACGGCGTGGTATAATTAGCAACAGGCTCGCTCGATTAACAACCGATCGAAGGAGTAAGGAAACCCACGGGAAAGTGTACACGTAAACAGAAGCGAACGTGTATCAAACCGCTCGTCGCTCGCGACACGCGTAAACGAAGTGAACCAGGAATCTACTCGCGCGGTTTGTCGCTTTTCCCGACAGCCGAAGTTGTAAGTGACAGTCGCATCGAAACGCGTAGAATGCGGAGACGACACCACGACGGTGGCGTAACAGGAAAAAATCAATGTACGCGTACCGATAATGCTCGTCGATAAGCGCTTCGGGCTTCAACAGAAGCCCGTTTGCACGTCGCGATTCCACGCGGCGTGACGAAAACCCGTTCCTGTAAACGTTGCACGAATCGGAATTCCGTCAACGAGAAAATCGGCGAGCGCGTCGCCCGTTATTATCATTATCTCGAAATTAACGCGAAATTAACGCCCTTACAGATATCCAATACCGCCAATTTACTACTGAAAGGTAGTGATTAATTACTTATTTTGAATATTAAAAGCACCGTACAGTACTTTTCATACTCAAAATAAGTAGTCTAATTATTATCTTCCAGTATTAAGGTTGTATCAGGTGTAGTCTCTGCAAAAAAAAGCGACTGGAATTGGAAATTATACTTTCTGTGTAATTGAATGTTATGTACAAAGTTGAGTTTTTTTTTTTAAGAATAAAACATTGTTTTTTAAATTATGTTTTTAATGTTTTATATGCGCTTTAAATAGTATTACAAAAAATGTGTTTAAAACATGATTTTTTACCAACTTTGATTTATATACATATAAAACAGTTCAATAAGGTCAATATTTATATTTAACAATACAATTTTATAGTTTAAATTTTAAATAAAAATTTCTTATTTTATCATAATTACTTTTTAAAAATACGTCCATTTTTTATTGAAACAATTTCTTATCAAAGTTCTACCGCCGCTAAACTTTTTGTATCACTTTCACAAATATACAAAAATCTGTTCATTTATTTTATTTTGTTAAAAAAGATATATATCCTTCTCTCTGCAAGAACAGCGATTAACGTATCAAATTCCTGCTCACACACACACACACACTCACACACACACACACACACACACACACACACACACACACACACACACACACACACACACACACACACACACACACACACATTAACTATTTCTTTCAATACAGATTAACTTTAATCTCGGTTTAACTTCTTATTTTTTTCTAGTCTTAAGTCAGAGAAAGATAAAGATTATATAGAGAAAAAAAATATTCATTTGAGTAAATTAATTCGTCTTTATTTCTTTGGTTGAGAAAAATGTATGTATTTAAAAATATGTTATTTAATTAATGTTTCATACATGCTTTCAACAATATTATAAAAAAATGTGTTAAAAATATCGATTAAGCATGTTTTAAACAATTTAAAACATGTTTAAAACATGATTTTTATCTGACTTCATATAAAGCAACTTTTAAATGTATAAATATAATACAGTACAGTATGAGGGACAGAATTTACCATAATTATTACTTGCGTACAGTATATATTTTTCTGTGTGGAGGAACGGACATAAGTGGCCGTGTTTAATTAACTAGACGCGCGACTGTACGACGTGCCGCCGGTTCGAGAAAGTTCTCCGTTTCCGTCGCCCCTTCCGTAGTCGAACCCGTATCATTCCGTATTCGCAACGCGGATTTTCCGCGACGAAAAGCAAATCGCTGAACGAGCGTTTCGTCGCATTCTCGTCGCGGTTTCCCTCTTCCTGTCAACGACTGGAGCACTCAAACCCGTCGATCGTTCCTTTCCTTCCATCCGCCTCTCTCTCCCTCCACCCCGCGCCGTTTCCACCCTGCCCGTCTCACCCCGCGAGAACGGTGAAAACGCAAATTGCGAAAGAGCGTTCGCCCCGGCGTTCACCCGTTACCGGGTCGTTATATTACACATCGACCGGCAAAAATGGCCGCCGCGCCGCGCCGGCCGCCGACTCCAGAAGTTAGCCGGTTCGTAAAAACAAATATCAATATATGACAAGACAGTTCCGTGACTCGCGGCGGTGATTCCTTGGAGAATCTATATCGCGTATCGAAATCTCTCTCTATAATATATTATAAATAATATACTCTATGACTGCTTTCGTTTCAATCTTGTGTCACCCTACGCATTGAAGACTGGGAGTTGCGAATTAGAGATTACAATTCGATCAGAAAATTTTCATTTTAATTAGTTTCACTCTGATTGACTGAATTGTAATCTTGAATCCGCAATTCCTCGAAATCCAAATCCGTAATGCGACGCGGATTTCAGCAGACAGTCAATACAAACATCGTTCTATCCTTGGCATTCAATGAGTAATAAAAGGTTGTTGCTTTTTGCATCAGCACCTCTCTCTCTCTCTTCTCTCTCTCTCTCTCTCTCTCTCTCTCTCTCTCTCTCTCTCTCTCTCTCTCTCTCTCTCTCTCTTCAACGTTCGAGTACATATTTATTTCATTTTTTAAGTGCAAAAAATTGTTGCAGATTTCATGCAACGCGACAAACTTAAAGATAGAACCACAGAATTTGACACATGTACTGAATGCATCTCCCAAAAAGAAACCAGCCTACATAACAAACATTACTATAGTATTTTTGTATACGATATTTTTCAAGAACAAGGCTCCTGATTCCTCGAAGAATCCTGAAATCCTTTTTTCTGACGGGGTCATTGGAAATGTTGACAGAGAAAGAAACAAAAACGCTTGATTAAATCTCAAACAAGCCAACAAAAATTGTGTGTTTCGATCAATTTCGAATACTCCAGCAAAATTTGAATTTCTGTTCGAATCCAAGCTCGTTTATTAAGCCATGAGAGTGGAATTTTACTCACCTCGTCCGGCCTCTTGAGTGCCGTCTTCTCGTTCCTCCAGAATCTTCTCCACCATGTTTCCTCTCTCGAGTACTCTCGTCGCCTTTACGAAACGATCGTCCGGGAAAGATCGGAGAATCTTCTGGTTCACCACTGTCGAGAGATCTTGTCCGAGCGCGTGTTCTCCGTTTCTCGCACCGATAGTAATAATTATAAAAAAGAGTCAGTCGTATATACAAAAAACCCTATCCACTAAGAAACTGATATAATCTTTCTTCGGAGCGATGTTTCTCTCTCTCTGTCTCTCTCCCTCTTACTCTCTCACACACACTCGCTCTCCCTCTCTCTCTCCCTCTCTCTCGCTCCTCTTCGATTCCTTTTTTCGCGGAAAAGGTCGATGTATATCAGCGTCGATATCACAGATGTAAATAAATATATAAAGCCTATCCCTCTATCTATCTCTCTATCTCTCTCTCTCTCTCTCTCGCTAACGTATATATATCTCCTCTGCAATCGCTCGTCCTCTTTTTTCGCGAAGATGACACGTCCACAGGTGCTATTGATAACGATGTTGTTGTTTTTCAATAAATACTATCACAGACTTTGACACCGCACTTTCTCTCGGTCGGTCATCCTTCGCTCTCACTCTCTTTTTCTCTCTCTCTCTCTCTCTCTCTCTTTCTCTCGCCCTCAGCGTCGATCTTGTTCGCCGGTGTGTCTTCCTCCTCTCGCAACCGAGCGGCCAAGCCCTTCCGCCGATAAGAAGCTAAGCTCGCTGTCAGCCTCTCGCCAGAACCTTCTCCGCGACCTGCTCTTCGCTGCTGCTGCTGCTGCTGCTGCTGCCTCCTCCTCCTCCTCTTCTTCTTCCTCCGCCTCCGCCGCCGCTTCCTCCGCCTCTCTCCGCTCCTCCGCAGCTCCCACCCAGCTGAAGGTTTTTAACCGGATGTACCGGGCCTTTTCGCACGCGAAAGCCCCGCGATGGTCGTCGTGGCTCCGTCGTCGCTATCGCACAGCCTCTCGCACGTAGCGGCAATCGGGCTCGGAAGCGCATTAAAAACCCTTCGTCTAACACATCTGGCCTCTCTTCCACATCACCGTCCCTCACTGCTCGGCAGTTGGTTTCCGACTGAGCTCGACAAGATGGCCGGCTCCCGCTTACTAACACTCCGCCACCCGTCTCACCGCCCACCGCGGACGCGGACCGCGGATAGTGCGGGTCCTCTCTCTCTCCCTCTCTTCTTCTTTCTCTCTCCCTCTTTCTCTTTCTCTCGCCACCATCCGCCGGCGAATCACGAGGCTCCGTCGACGCCCTGCGAGTCACGTAGGCAACGTGGTTCTCAGACAACGGCTCCGCCGCGAGATGACGCAAACCGCGAGGTTTGTTGGCGAGAGGCCCGCGACGCAGCTTCTTCGCGAATTCTTTCGAAATCACGAAAGAATACGGTGACATTTCACGGTACCGCCACGCACGTCACGCGAGGATCGCACGATTTAAAAAATTTTTTTTCCTAGCCTGACGAATGTCCGCCGGAGCAGCTGCTCGCGACTGTTTTGCGCGTTACTTCTTTTTCGTCCCCTCTGGTTTCCCCTCCTTCCGTTTCGGTGACGTTCGCCTCGGCGACGAGTAGCTTGGAATACGATTAGGTATTTATATTTTACTTCTGATCCTTTCCAATGTTTATTTATTACGGTATTTTTGTATATCCTCGCTTCTCCGTTTTCTTGATTTTTATTCTCTATTACAATTTATTAATTGGCTGAGGAAGATTAATTGACTGAGTTAAATTGAAACATTCGGAGCAATCGGTGACTGCTTTGCTCTAATTGGTGCAAAAGTAATCGTCAATCGCTAATCACATTCGTGTAATAATTAGTGTGATTACGGCTTTAGATTGATTATTATTGTTGAAAAATTAGTTTTAATCCTTTCTTCCTTTGATTTTGATGTTTAATAAACTAGATTTTGTTTATTGACGTAATTATTGGCTCGTTTCTGACTTCTCATTCTATTAGAAATTTTGAAAATTGATATTGTTATCTTATTAATTATTCTATTATTTATTATGTACTGATAGAGCGAAATATCGAATATCAATAAGCAGAACATGAATTATCTTTGTGTTACGAAAGATGACATCAAAATGGCTCTAAAATGATTATGAAGATCCAATTATATATTATTTAATATATTATATTATTATTATTATATATTATTTAATTATACATTAATGTCATTTTAGCTTTAAGAGATTTAAATATACATCTATCATTTATTTAGAAAGAAAAATAAAGGCAGATACGTGTTTAAGTCTCACTTAAAGCCAAAATAACGTTGCTTAAATCACTTTTTTAATTAACTACGATATAGCACAGAAACTAGTAGTGACGTTTGCAATATTGCTGGAATGATCTGTGGAATTTATTTTAAGGATGTATATGTCACGTCTCAAAACATTACTAAAAATAAAAAAAAATTTCATAGATTGTTTCATCTGAGTATCTATATAAAATTTGAACCAATACTCTTAATAGTTCAAAAGTTATTTAGTTTTTTGTTGACCTTGATTTTTTTGTACAATAAGATCGCGTTTTGTGATAGTTATCTGCAAATTTGATAATTCGTAGCATTACGAATTAAATCAAATTTTTTATATATTATTAATAAAACTCCAATATACATTCGTGCAAAAGTACATTTGGATCCGTTTATTCGTTTAAAAGTTATTTACCTGAAGTTGCAGCAAAATATGATCATTTCGCTGCGTGAAGTCATTATAGATCAAATTATTTGTTTTGTTTTTTCACATTTGATTTTAGGACTTCTTATTATTTATGATAAGAATTTTTGGCAGATATATATCGATTTTATGACTGATATTTTTAACTGATATTATATAGCCAAATCCTTAACATTTCAATTTTATCGTGACTTGTATTTTTGCTTGGGATGGGATTCACGCGGCAGGTGTCACGCAGCAAGGAAGGAGGAGGGGAAAGAACCTACTCATACAGCACACTTTATTTGAGGGATATCCTAAGAATCTTTCGAACATCTTTAGGACATTCCTGGGAAATTCGTGCTGTATGGGAAACCGATTGCCCTCGTGCATTGATTTTACTATACGAGTTCCAATATGCTACGCAAATCATGCTCGTATTTGCCCGACGCGAAACGACGGCTACCGAATACGTGATATCTAGCTACCTCCGCTTCGCGAAGCTTCGAAGCCGCGCGCGCGCACGAGCCTCACCGAATTCTCTCGACATTGACAACACGAAGATGCGCACGAGTGAGAGTCGCTGGCTTCGCTTCGCTCGCTCCAGCTCGCCGGCTCCGCCATTTTGCGCGTAATAATACGGGAGCGCCAGAGTTTTCTACGTCGTACGCGTGCGTCCAACCCCTGAAAAAAAAAAGGAGCAAGGCGATCGACTCTTCTCTCCTTCGTGAGGAGGGCAGTCGACCCACTCGGCGTGTTTACCCTTGTCCCTCACGTGGCCGAAATTCTTAAACAAAGACGCCGAGCGACGCTGGTTCATGATGTTCATGTTACGCCGCTTGTTTTCGGCGTTGGGATGCGCGCGCAGGCCGTTCTCCGGTCACGTACGCCACAGGCCGACGCGTATCGTATCACGCAGCCTCGGCAAGTCAGAATCATTCGGAATGGCGAGCGACGGGGTGAGGGGACGCGTATTAGAAATGAACGAGTGATTCGGGGAGGAGGTGAGAAGATAGTCGAACGCCGAGCGTGCCGGAGCGGCGCGCACATGAATACGGAATAATGTATATATACATTAATCTTCCAGCTCTCTCACTCTCTCTATATATATATATATATATTTGTACAAATTTATGTATATATATATATATGTATATACACATAAATTTGTATATTAATTCCAATTGCGTGGACTTGAGGACTCTGTGTTTACATCGAGATACCGGCATCGGCATGAAGTTCGCCAAGAATTCGAAACTAGCCGCTCACCGGGTTCGCGTTCTCTCTTCCCCTCTTCCCTCCCTCCCTCCTTCCCACTCTCTCTCTCTTTCCTTCCCACTCTCTACACGATTCTAGTTAGAACCATGATATAAGAAGACCAGGTGAACCAATTTCAAGGATGTACGGTCGTTCACAAAGTAATGACATTTGTGACCAATCAGAATTGACATTTTGTAAGTTAATATAAAGCCGCTATTAGAAATTTGCCATTAATAAGAAATTTATCCCGTTATATTTATAGTTATAGTTATTATGCGTAATGTTACACCTGGTCCTTTTTCATCATAATTAAAGAACTACACAATGTGTTTATGTTATTCTTTGAATTACTTATTTCTCACTTAAAAAATACTTCTGTCACGTATCTGATTATTAATAATGCTGTAATTTAATTATGTATCATACTTTAACGCTTGAAGATACATAAGCCTTTAACTCTTAGGCCCGGTGTTTCATTATTTGGTTAAATTTAATTGTAGTTCAGATTAACCTTACTTAACTCGATGATGTAAAAATTGTGTTCTTTCTATGATTAATCATTAAACTAATAGTTTTCTGATGGTAATTTTGAAAGTTACTATATACAAAATCATCAGTTTAGTGATTGTCGATAACTAGAATAGAAAAATACAATTTTTACATTATTATCAGGTTAAACCTAACCATACCATAAATAATCAGAAAATGAAAAACCTGGCTTTAACGATGTTCTTACATTGTCGTTGCAGTTCTTTTTATCGTTCATAAAACTTGCATGCCATAACGACAGTGACACTGGCACTATCGTTAAGAGTTATCGAAGGGAGGTCATAGTAGAGTGCATAATGAATAACGATTCTATTTATAGAAAGAACAGTTTTTACTGAAATATAATGTTTAAAAACAAATGTAGATCTGAAAATAATTTTATTGGACTATCAAAAATTATAATTACTGTAGCTCAAGTTAGTTGCTAAAAAGTCAAAATCTTTTACAACATTGCTTATCATGTTTGAGTTTCATGTATACATTATTTTGATGATCTAATATAATTATTTTTAGCTCTGTTATCTATCTAAATTTTTAAGTACCTTAGCAAAATCAGTGAGCGCGTTTTAATCAACAAAGCGGCAAAGTCTGCCCGCCGAATAATAATTAAACACGATGGTTGGATCCATAGGTTAGAACCAATCATACTCATTTGCTCGGCAAGCGTGCCTAACCGCTTTACTGGCTTCAACTTGTTCATTCTTTCCATGTTCTATTCTATTCTTTTTATTTCTTCTTCGCACAAGTACTTATCTCGCATGTCTACGCGTGTATACTTACGTGCTCGTTGCGATCGCGCGGCGACTTGTTGCCAGTAAAGCAGGATCGGCATCGCGCCAATTTAACCAACGAACAGCATTGTTACGCAATCGGCATTAATGATTCAATAACCCAGAAGCCTTTCTTTCTTTTCACTTCTCCTTTTCTCTGTCTCTTTACTCCTTTTCTACTGTTGTCATGTTTATGATCTTCG